TTCAAATAAGTATACATAATATATGGGTCATTCCAGCTCAAGTGGGACACCACCTGTGGTCGATGTCACCGATTTGAGCCAAACTTGGCCAAAACGCTTATTTTGGCTTTCTGAACAAACGCCTTTATTTATTTTGCTCTAAAGTACCAAGATCCTTCTGGGCTACAACCCTGGATTTTCAAGATTTTTAAAAATGTCATCTTTCAGAAGAGATTACTCCACATCCAAATGAGCTATTCGTGATCTTAGAACGTCAATTTGAAAGTTTTTTAATGTAGATTTTTTGTTATAGTAACTAAAATTAACAGGCTGATTACCGGCAGGTATCCAAATTGTCAAAAAATTTCCTATTTTCACCATGGGCGGCATTTTTTATTTCTTAGTATTTTGGGCTCAAATTTTCACCACACTTTGAAAAACTCTTCTACTTGATGTGTTTCCAAGGGCTAATGATTTGGACAAATAGTTTTTAAGATATGACCAGATGAGTGAGAGGTAGTTTTGAGCTTTTCTGGTGAAAAAATCAATGTTATTTAATATTTATTATTTTTTCTTGAATTCATTCACGCCGATGGCACAATAATATTTTTATGTTATTTTTCACATGTTCTGGGCAGGATTTTCAGTATATGAAATCATAACTAGTTAATTTATTTACTTCTGTCCATAATTTAATGGTGGTCCTAAAAGTGAGAAATACGTTCCTGTGGAATACAGCCAAAACGTTGTGCTTTAGAAGTACGATGAAATCAGATAGATTAGCAGGTATATACAATTTCAGTTGTGGATGGCAGCTGCTGCTTGAGTAATACCCTTATTTGAGTTATTAATTTATTTTTTTAGATACAATCTCACGATGATGAATGCTTTTTTTATTCTAGTTATAAAGAAAATCAAACGCTGAACCTTTATTTTTAATTTTTGGAAATCACACTTTCCATTCATGTAACGTAACTGTCATGTTCTTCTTCTACGTATTTGAAGATTATTGCTTATCGCACATTAGCTCATCGTGTGCTCCCAACTTAGTCTTTCAGATGCACTTCCACAGTTATTAATTGAGAGCTTTCATGAGTTAACTGTTAACGTAACTGTCATGTATTGTCAGCAAACTCATAGTTTAAAATCAGTTTGTCAACCATTATGTACCATGTTTTTAATGCCATCTTTATTCATCCACCGTTATTTCTGTCTTTAGGCAAATCTAACTATTTTATTTACTAGTGCTATAGTGCTCTAAACTAGTCACCTATAATTAATCTGTTCGATTGGTTAGAGGACAATCGAGAAATAACGATAGGAAAACGGAACCACTTTCCCACTATGTGGAGGATGGTACTCATTTTACATGCTAGCGATTTGGTTTTACATAAATATCTGTTTTCTACCAGCCAAGTGAGATGAAACAATTTTTGTAGTGCTCCCAACGTTGAAAATATACCTCTTCTTACACAGAAAAAAAGTTCTCAATTTTAACTGTCGCGTAAAATCTCCTCTCGTTTAATTTTGCGCTATAGTTGCCATAAACATTGAAATTGCTTGCAAGCTTGTAAACAATATTGCAGATTTATGTGATATTTCGCTAAAATTTACATGAAATCTCGTGTAAAATTCGCCAAATCTACCGTTTATAACATGTATCGCAGAAATTTACATGATTTTTTCATACGGTGTATGTCTCAAGCATATTTTGTCTTCTGAGCACAAACACAACTTACTACTTGTTGCGTTACATAATAAATGGACACTTTCTTATGGGAATCCTGCCATGTGTAAAATAACATAAAAATATTATTGTGCCATCGGCGTGAATGAATTCAAGAAAAATAATAAATATTAAATACCATTGATTTTTTCACCAGAAAAGCTCAAAACTACCTCTCACTCATCTGGTCATACCTCAGAAACTATTTGTCCAAATCATTTGCCCTTGGAAACACATCAAGTAGAAGAGTTTTCCAAAGTGTGGTAAAATTTTGAGCCCAAAATATTATGAAATAAAAAATCCCGCCCATGGTGAAAATAGGCAATTTTTTGACAATTTGGATACCTGCCGGTAATCAGCCTGTTAACTGTAGTTACTATAACAAAAACAAAATGTGGGTACACCTATAAGAATTTACATTAAAAAACCTTCAAATTGACGTTCTAAGATCACAAATAACTTATTTGGTTGTGGAGTAATCTCTTCTGAAAGATGACATTTTTAAAAATCTCGAAAATCCAGGGTTGTAGCCCAGAACGATCTAGGTACTTTAGAGCAAAATAAAAAAGGCGTTTGTTCAGTATGCCAAAATAAGCATTTTGGCCAAGTTTGGCTCAAATCGATGACATCCACCACAACTTTTTTAAATTCTGTACCCACTTGAGCTAATGACCCATATACATAATATTATTTCTCGACTACTTTTTCGAAGGGACGTATAAGCTTTTGTAAACAATGCATTTGATAGTCGATTTGGCGTAACTGGTAGCTCGCTCACGCATTCTAGCATTACCATCAGATAGGGGAAATTTTCTCCAACCTGATAGTGATGTTAGTATGCGTGGGTGAGCTACCAGTTACGCTAAATCGACGATCAAATTCATTGTTTACAAAAGCTGATACGTCCCTTCGAAAAAGTAATCGAGATTTACTTCTTTCACATCTTATAGGCTTCTCCCTTTTTGATTGGCGATGTATTAGGAGAATGGAGAGGGTTTTGTATTTGGTAATACATTAATTCAACTCACCTTTATAAGCAGTAGGGCAATTTCCCCACTGCCAGTGCCAGCAATCGATGCTACCCAGCATGCCTGGAAACCCCCTAGCATCGTTTTCATTCAACAGCCTCTTTACGTCATCATTATTCGGTGAACGTAAATAACGTTCACCCAAAGCGGCCACGAGGATGCGGCAAAACTCCTTCAAACACATCATCGCTGTTGAGTCACCCATTTTCAAATACTCATCCATGGAATCGGCAGCAGTTCCGTAGGCCAGCATTCTTACTGCTGCAGAACATTTTTGAATACTTGAAAGTCCGGGTTTTCCCAACGCATCCGATTTCAGTTTGAAAAAATCGCTTTTTCGCTGTAGCTCTTCAACAATGAGTAGAAACATTTCTTTACTCATTCTATACCTTCTTTGGAACATTTTCTCTGTGTATCGCGGGGTATCAGTAAAGTAGTCGATCATCAACTGCTCGTGAGCGATCACAAAGTCACGACGGATGTATGTCCGGCCGGTTCGCTGAGAGCTAGGTGTACATGCATCTAAAAAAACGGAATTGATGTCAGTGCAATATTGGAACGTGCTTTTATTCTCAAATTCTTACCTTCCATCTCGTACAGCACAGCCTCCACCTCGCTATCGTCAATAAACTCCTGCAAGATCAACTGGTCGAAGCTAAACTCTTCCATTTTTAAATAAACTTACCACTTTTGAATTTCATACGCAAAGCTCGACGGAAACAATTCAGACAAACTTTGCACACGCACACATATATAGACAGGAATGCCAAACATCTTTTAAAACTGCGCGTTGCGTTGACCATGTTGCAGTTTCATTTTTGATAGTTTCAAATTTTAGAACTGTCGAGTAGTTTGCAATAATTTTTCAAACTCAGCATTGCGAAAGGCCTTAGCGATCAGTTAACCACTTCATTCGAGCAGTTAAAATGACGTTTGCTACCACTCGAACTTTGAACTTTGAAAAACTTCTAGAACTTCTAGAACCACGAGAAAAGTAGCCAACATTTGTGCGTTTCATAAAAAAATAGAAATTAGTTGGGCAAGTTTTGTGAAATCGCTGGTAGAAAGTCACGCCAAAACTGCTTGACAAAGTGGTCAGTTGTTTCTTTTTCACGCTCTGCTAACAGAAGGTTCAAAACGCCGGTGCTTGTAATGTTGTGTGATATTGTAATCTTCACCCATAACTGTTCAAGAGAACTGCTGGCCGGAGCAGGATCGAGGCAGCAGTTCAGTCGTTTGAAAACCGCAATCAAGACGCCACCACCACGTGATTTGACATTGTTCATCCGGTTACGGTCATTGCGAAAAACTGAGAACATACTGCCAAATGATTGTGCTGAGTGAATTCGATCATCTAGTCAGGTCTCGGTAAGCACTATTGCATCGTAGTTTGACTCATCAGCATAAGTCGTCTTAGTCGTCATTTTGATCGGATAACATAGGTCTGCAATCGGCAAGGCAAGTAGGTTCAGTAGGTGGTGAAGAAGACGTTGGGCTGAAACGTGGAGGCTGATCAGGCGATGAATTGGTTTCAATAAACGCATACTTGCCTGACATCGAAGGTTCGAAGGTTTTTGAATCGTGGACAGCTTAGCTCGGAATTCTCTCACTAGGTGACGCTAGTGATTTCATAAACTTCGTGTGCATGCAGGGTAGACATCTCGAGATCTTTGCTATGTTCAAAGTTGCTGCAAAGTAGACTTGAAGTGAACTAAATAAAAATTATCGCCAGGACGAGGTTTCATTATCATTTTGATTACTTGGACTGGCTCAACTCCGAGTAATTTTGTCAATGCATCATCTGATCCAGGGATTCACCAGTGGGCAGACTATTCAAGACAACCTTGAACGCCTTGAACAGACGTTCAGTTTTGGTGTCGTAAGTGAAAAATGTGTATTGCTTCTCAGTAAGATACTTGAGAAGACGTTTGAATCCGGCCAAGGTTTCAGCCAATACACGGCATTCACCCCGACGGCCAATGTAAAGTGAAAACTTGAATTTTACTAAGTTTAAAAGTTCCGTGCGAAGAGCAATTTTGTTCTACGAACGTCACTTTGCTGCAAAACGAGATTTCAAATCGACGTTCGTAGAACTAAATTCCCAGTGATGAATAATGGTCCAAAATGCTGTTTGATGCACATTGAATACGGCAATGCAAAAGAAGTAAAAATTGGCCATTGTGGAACATACGTCCCTTTGTCGGTCACCAAAATCATGGACGTTTCTCAAATTTCCAAATCCGACATAAACCTTCCACCGGCTTACGTTTGGGTACCTTTTTTATTTTAGGTTTACAGCAAAAAGTTCAACACTATTGAAATATTCTGTTCGATTCCTTTGGAAATACTCAACCAGCTTTTCCCTTTTCCGCCGGCGATTGTGCCGCTTCCCTCCGGGCAGTTGTTTTCTACAAATTTCGCTTACCTTCTGCTCAAACTTCCGAGTGGCTAATCTTATACAATTCTTAGGGATATCACCTCAGCTTCCTCCTTACACCCGGAGCCAGTACATGGAGGAACGGATGCGCATGTAGTCGGGCAGGTTCTCGATCGGTCCAACGGCAGCTATCGCCGGACAACGATCGAAGATGTACTTCATGGCGACGTCACGGACGTTCTGGGCATTGACGTTCTATTGGGTTGGCAAAAAGAAGCGATGCTTTAATTTGTTTTCGAAAAAAAAAACTGCCTTTCAACTTACGTCAATTCTCTTCTCCAGTTCGTGCAGTGGGATGCGACGGTTGTAGCACAGCATTTGACGGCCGATGTCCTCGCAGATCGGGGTGGTTCCGTCCAGCTGCAGCAGCATGTTGGTCTTCAGCAGGTTCTTGGCACGGTCGACCTCGCTATCGGTGACCATGGTGCACAGGCGCATCCACTCGTTTTGCAGATTGAAGACCATGTCCTCGCACTTCAGTGGATCGCACACGAAGTAGATACCCCACAGACCGGTGTCCTTGTAGCAGGTGTTGAACGACTGGAAGCTGTGGCAGAGGTTGTCCTGAGCGGCAGCAGCGGCCAGCTTGGAGGCATTGTTGGCACCGCCGCCCTACAATTACCAATAGAAAGATTATAAAAACCATTCGAAATGCCACCTAAAATCACACTCACCTGCGAGCGATCCCAGGCACCGATGAGTGTGTTGGCAACCATCAGTGGGACATTGTCCTGGTCGGTCCATCCGCAGCCCTCAACAGCGATGGCAACGTGGGCCAGTGGCAACGAATCGTCACGGACGCGCACTTCCGAACCGGTGAAACGGCACGGCGTCAGCTGGGGAGCCTTGCCGTCGAAGGTGCTGCCAACCTTGCCCAGATTGGACGAAGCCAGCTTGACCAGGTCGTTGTGCTTGACACCACCGGCAGCGGCCAGCACGATGCGTGGAGCCTTGTAGTGCGAATCGATGTAGGCCTGCAGATCCGATTTGCCAATCGACTGGATGTTCTTGGTCGGGCCCAGGATGGTGTTGCCCAGTGGAGTTCCCTGGTAAGCGGTGGCGTGCAGGTGATCGAAGACAACCTCCTGCAGGTTGCTCTCTACTTCCTGCATCTCACGCAGAATGACACCGCGCTCACGTTCGATTTCGGCTTCTCCCAGCTTGGAGTTCTGAATGATGTCCGACAAGACTTCCACCGCCTTCGGAACATCCTTGGACAGACACTTGGCGTAGAACACGGTCTGTTCGCGGGAAGTATACGCATTCAGGTGAGCTCCCATGTTTTCGACTTCCAGTTCCAGGTCGGTCTGGGAACGCTTGGCCGTTCCCTTGAAAGCCATATGCTCCAGGAAGTGAGCAACGCCATTGTTACGGCTGTCCTCGTAACGCGATCCGGCATCGATCCACAGACCGACGGTGGCCGTCTGCGATCCGGAATCCTCGCTGGCTACGCGCAGTCCACTGTCCAGCAGGGTCACCTCAGTCGGGGGAACATTGACCAAAGCGGCACGGAAATCAGCGGCATTCGAAGATTTCAGACGCTGCAAAGACAAATAAAAATCAACCCATTCAAATGGAACTTCTAACCTCACTCCCCAGCAAAACAAAATATTCCCAAATTCCCGTCCGAACAATCCGACCCCGCCCCACAAATCCCAGACTATCACATCCATCCCAAAGCACCTCGTCTCGATTTGATCACATTTACGCCGGAATCGCACTCGGAACACCAATTTCATTCTCGGAAAATTACGTAATGGAACAAAATTTTCACCATCTTCCGAACAGTCGCCTTACCTGAATCAGCTGTGTTCCCTTTCCGTACACCCGGAGGCTGTTGGTCACCTTCAGAAGCGAAGCCATGATTGATGGTTTTCTAGCCGAACCGGATCTGCAATGAATTTACGGAAAATTTACTTGCTGTGAGCCACCACTGGGGGAAAAACTCTGGGATGCGACGGAGATGCAGACACTCACTTCTTTTTTTCGATTCGATCGTCGTCGTCTTCTCTCGTCCGTCGTCGCGGTCACTGTTTTTTGACAAAAGGAGAGCTCGCGAAGAAAATCGATCAACAATACTGCGAAAAAGTGACGCAATGCAGCTGAATCGATGAAAGGGTAAAACGATATCAGCGTTGCCAGATATACCGATTTATCGGTATTTATACCGATTCCCTAACTAGATACCGATATACAGATAAAGGTTCCTCAGAATACCGATTTTTAAGATTTTATACCGATTTATACCGTTTTTTTAATGATCAAAATTATTATTGCCTGTCTGTGCTCGGATAATTTTTTTGTGAGAGACTTGTATCTTTTTGAATACCTCATATTTTTTTAGCCTTCAAAATTCTAAACAATCATCTCTAAAGATGCCTTATGCTTGAAACTCTTTCGACTAATGTTTGCATTTCCTCACTGTTTTTGGCTACCCATCAATCGAGAAATAGTCGATGGCTCTTTCCGGTAATTCCTAGGGAATCGAGAAATATTTTTTAAACATTAACTTCCTGAAGTTTCATCCAACTTTCCCAGGAGTTTTATACCACCTTACCCTGCAAGCTTCTTCACCCTTCGCTTCGCTAGTTTTTTCTACTTTCCCTGAACTTCAAGGATGCTATCAGATTTTTATTGCGGATCCACACTAGCTGTAGGCACATTTAAGAAGTTCTGAACTTCAGAAAAGTCCAGACTTTTGTGTATGTTTCGATAAATTAAAGACAGTTTCACTTCTGTTAAAATTCGAAAACCCGGGAATTTCAGAAAAGTCCAGCGAACTCCAGTGAACTTAAGGAAACATCATAAATATTTTGGAAACTTCACAAGTCCAAAGAACTTCAGGGAAAATAAAAGGTTTTCAGGAACTTTTGTGAAGCTCAGACAACATCAGGACAGATCAATTAATTAATTAAATTGCTGAAATTCTAAAGGAGTTCCGAGAAACTCAGGCAATTTCCGAAAACTTGAGCAATGTCATGAGGGGCTCATGCAAATTTAGTAAACGTAATGGAAGTTACATGAAAATTAGAACATTGTGAGAACATTTTATGGGAAGTTCTATGCTTTTTATGGCAGCCCGCATAAGCGCGAACCATAAATTGACCTTACCGATAATGGTTATAAATTGTTTATAATCCCTGCTAAACTTCAACTGAAATGGTTATGGAACTTTACATGAACGTTTAATGATAAAGTTTTAACCTTAAGTATTATAGTTTTTTGGAAGTGGACCTTACAAATAATGGGTTGTTAAGAACCATTACCATTCAAAATTCTTGTTTTCTCCATACATTTTCGGAAAGAAAACTATACTAAAACCTTTTAACTTATGGTTTGAGAACATTAATGGTAATGGTTATGGTAACCAGTAAGGTCCATGAATGGTTTTGTAACATCGATCAACTTTATGTGGAATATATCGCGAATTGGTTGCCTGTAAATTACTGATTACCAATTCACGATATATTTCACGTAAAGTTGAGTGATAATACAAAACCATTAATGGACCTTACTGACTACCATAACCATAACCATTAATGTTCTCAAACCATAAGTAAAAACGTTCTAATATAGTTCTCTTTCCGAAAATGTATGGAGAAAACAAGAATTTGGAATGGTAATGGTTCTTAACAACCCATTATTTGTAAGGTCCGCTTCCAAAAAACTATAATACTTAAGGTTAAAACTTTATCATTAAACGTTCATGTAAAGTTCCATAACCATTTCAGTTGAAGTTTAGCATGGATTATAAACAATTTATAACCATTATCGGTAAGGTCATGTGATGGTTCGCGTTTATGCGGGAGTGTCGGTAACTTTTAAACATTAAAAAAATCGGGAAGATCAGAGAACTTCAATGCTGATGTTACAAAAAGTCAAGAAAATTTTGAGAGCACTTAAAAAATTTCGTTATTTTCAAGAAAGTTCAGAGACCTTCAAAGATGATCAAAGATATTCCGGTAGTCTTATTATAATCAGGGAAATTCCGAGCGCTTCGAGGATGACCAGAGAACTCCAAAACAGCCCATGATTTCAGGAAAATTAAAAGAACTTTTAAGGATTTTCGAGGAATTATGGAATATTCTCAACTGCATTTCAGGAATGTGCCGAAAACTTCAGGGAAATTGCGGAGTCTTCAGGGATGTTTTATGAATATCAGGAAAATTTTCTGGATCATTAGAACTTCCCCCAGAAATCTATTTCTTCCGAAATTGTGTCCTTGTTTCTTTCAACTGTTTCGTAAGCGCTCTGGCTTCCGATTTTCTTCAGATTTTTCTTCCAATCTACCTTAGGAAATTTTTGCCAGCGTCTCCAGGAAGTTTCTTTCGTCTTCTCCAGGAAGTTCAATTAATTCTCCCAGAAATTTCTTTCGTCTTCTTCAGGAAATTTGACCATAAGTTTGTTCGACTTCTACTGGAAGATTTTTCCTAGCTTCTTATGGCTTTCCCTGGAAATGGCTACTTCTGAAAATTTACTTCTGGTTTCCGAAACTTTTCTAGCTTCCTTTAGATGTGTTTATTTAGTCTATTTAATTTTTTACCACAAGTTTCTCAATTCGTGTCTTGGCAGTTTCCCGGATGTTTTTCCAACTCTTCTTAGAACTTTCATCGAACTTCATCCAGGAGAGCTTCTTTCGTCTTTCTTTGGATGTGTTTTCGGCTCCGTTCAGAAGCTAATTCTAACATTCCCGGAGTTTTCTTCCGGAATATTCCGATCATTGTACAAAAGCTAATTTTTTTCTTTTATTAACGGCTTTCTCAGTCTTAAAAACTGCAACAACTACGATGTAATCTGCTGGACATTTCAGCCATGGTTTGTGGTCTTTTTCAAGTGAAAATATTGTTTGTCGTAATGGTCAATAGTTTAGTCGTTGTTGTGGCTTATATATTTTCCATATTTTGGTTTCATTTAATGATATTTTATTGAAAAAACTATTTTCTCACAATTTCGACCACCACTTAAGGACAACGATAATTTTAAAAATTAAATTAAAAAAATAAAGACTGTTTTAAGACTGAGAAAGCAGTTAAACATAGCAATTCACCATCGTTAAAATTTTCGGTTTCAAAAACGGCAAAAATATATAATTAATTAAATAGTAAATACCGATAAATACCGATTTTTAATACCTTTGATACCGATAAGCTTTAAAACAATCTGGCAACGCTGAACGATATATCGATTAACCGAGGGGTGATTGGGAGTTGGAATATTGCTACACTCTAAAATAAAACCACCCAGAGCATTATTATTATATTTTATAAACAGTTTATAAAATATAATAATAATGCTCTGGGCAGTTACTGCAAGTACACCAGAACATTTTTTGGTGCTTATAATGTGCGCAATTTATTAATGTTCAAAAATTAAAAGCAGTTTTTTCGTTCGAAATCAAAATGAAGCTCATGAAAATGTGTTTATTTCAACACATTTTTTTCGTTGGTAAAATTGCAAACGAAAAAAACTCCTTTTGAATTCCCAAAAATTAATTGGGTTCTTTAATTTTGGAAAATAGGGGAAATGGATGTAATGTCGGCTTAAATGCGCCTATGGGCCCATACACAAATTCAGCAATCGACTAAATTTGAAAAAGCTACCAAAATATCCATAAGTATCATCCCAATGACGCGTTCATCTAGATAAAATTGATAAATAGCAGATTTTTATCGGGCCCAATCTTAGATGGCCAGCATTAGAGCCATTTCCCCTATATAGGTCGATCTACATGATCTGAAAGACCTTCGTTTTCTGAGTACGATTTATTTTTCGATCCCATTTACTAATTAATTCACACTTATTTAAAACAGTTCCTGTGCTCAAAAATTGTTGAAATTTTGGATTTCGGTTCCATATGCCATTATCTCAATCTCAATACCCATAAAGAACCCAATTAAGTCTCCTTTCCCCTTAAATACATCTAATGATTTCTTAATTTCGAAAAATATGTTTTATAGCGAAGTGAGTAGAAGCAACCCTGGTTTCAGATAATAGAGTAAAATCCCCCATGCTTTTCTTATGCGTGAAAAGTAAACTCTTTTATTCATACGACCCAACAGGCTTTCTTTCCAGCAAATTGTACGTGCTTCCATTACCGATAGAATGCTAAAAATTTTATTCCACCCTCATCCTCACCTGACGCTAGGGTCGTTCTCATACTTGACCGGAAGCCCGCTTCTGCCTTCTTCCACCACAGCCGGAACATCTCGGCCCAGATTCTGTTCCAACCCCTGCCAGGACCGATTCTGAAAAACATCGCCCGAACTAACCTGAGCCACCTCGTTCTTACCCCGCAGTTGAACCTCCCGGCAGTCGTTTCCATTCGCCACCTGCCCCTCCATCTCGACTCGGTTCACGTTGCGAATCTTACCCGTTACCAAGCTGACATCTACATTCGCAGTATCCACCATCGCTGCGTCGAAGGGCTTGTACAACCGTCCACTGGGAAGAATATCTCCAAAGTCGGAACTGTAGCTCGACGGGAATTCACCATTCCAAGCCGGATTGAACGCAAGCTCACACTCAAACACCGACACCAGTGGTTTGAAGAAATCCCTCGAAGTAAACATATCATTCTCCGGACAACCGATCAACACGAAGCAATCGATCTCAACGAAATTAGCCAACTTGGCCGGGTTGATCTTTCCCACGGAAATGATGTACGTTCGAATGCCACGGGCTTTGGCTAGCTTTTGAATGCGGTTGACGACGTCCAGATAGCCGGTAGCAGTGAGGGTCGCAACTACAATCCCCAACGAGCTAGCGTCTTTGCACTTTTCGACGTAGTAGAATCGACGACGCAGCCACTTGGAATCCAACGGATTCGCTTGGTCGAGTGCCCCGGAAGCCGGATCGAAACGGAACCACCGTTCCGCTTTAATCCCGTTCGACGTATTGAAGAAACTTTGACCATCCCGACCAATGAAAATGCAAACCGAACTTTCAAATGTACGTCCGTTCAGCTTCCAACAAAGGAGATCCGGTTGTTCCCCGGATGCGGCCAACTGACCAACGGAGAGGTTTGTATAAAACCCTTTCAACTTTTCTGTTACTTCCTTAGCAGCATGGGCAAAGCTTACGTCGTAGAAAATTCCAACGCTCATATCCGGATCGGTCAGTTCTTTCTGCAGGGCTTCGACGAACCGATCAACGCTAAGCTTCCCTCTGAAGAAAATATATTTGATCGGCAATCGAGCGGATCGGCTAAGGCAAGCGTGGCCAAAGTGGATCATCGCATCGGCGCCAACGTGTGCGGCAGCTATCTCATCGACGCAACAGCTCCCGTAGGATGTGTCCCCAAGGATATAAACGCCGGCCGGTGGTGCCGTCTGTTTGAGCTGTTCCGCGATTGCGGTACTGAACGGAAGCATAGCATCCGGGAATTGTAGACATACCTTGAAAAATCAATGCTTCAACAATAAAGGAATGCTAAAGCATTACATAAAAAAAAAACATACCTTTGCAAAATTGTGCTCCTTGATCCAATCGGCGCATTCCGTTAGTCGAGTCTCGTTCCAGAAATCTTCCAGCTGAATGTCAACAGTCTCTGGTTGGTCCGGGTCCAGTTCTACTTGCCGTTCGATTGCAGCTGCTTCGTTGGAACTGAATGCCGAAGTCATGGTGGATGAGGTTGGAGAATACTCAACCGATGCAGGACAATTTTAAACCGTGGGCAATTAAAACTTTTGTTACGAAATACGCAATGGGTGATAATCTGTTGTGTATACACTCCTTTCAACTTCTGCCGATCAACGTGCCAGTATCAGTCAGTGGCACTATTTATACAATCATCAATGATGATTCCAGAACTGTCAACGATCACAACAGAGGAAAGAGCCGATCGGGAAAATTCGTAAACAAGGCTGTGCCGATGAAGGTTGTTTAACCGATTCTACACTGAGAAAAAAATTAATCAGCTGTGCACAAAAACAAATCGACAGTGAGCATGCATAAGGGCCTATACGCGATGATCGATTCTCTTCGTCAATTTTCTCTTTTGTTAATAACTCGCTAGATTTAACGTTTCTCGGTGCGTTTGCTGTTGCTTTCGATAGCCAATACAACCTGTTACTACTCTGCATTGAACAAATTCTAGAAAATTGTTTCGCCTAGCTGTAGCAATGCAAAGAGAAAATCGATGAAGAGAATCGATCATCGCGTATTCGCCCTTATGAATACTCACTGTCGAAATATTGGAAGATTGCAGTAAATGTTCTACCAGATGCCAAAATGAGTAATAAAATTAAAACATAACTTTCATCAAACCCGAAAAACATCGTTCCAATAAAATCATTTAATTTCGTAGAAAAATATTATTCCGATCTACTTGATGTGCATCTTTGATTTTCTAGAGGGATTTGCATACGAAATGTTCATTTTATTTTACTTTACCGTCAATGCTACTTAAATCCAAATATGACCTCGGTGAATTATAATCACCGACGAACCGACATGCCACTGGAGCATTTCGTTTGTCCGTAATTCGATTTATTAAATGAGCGATTTGATCTGTCCAACGGGCGATCCGATCTGTCGAGAAAAGGTCCTATAATTGTTGATCGATTCTTTTCATCGATTTTCTCTTTCACGAATAACCCGACTGCCCATTCAGTGTGTTGTTTCAAGCGCAAGCTAACATCATCTTCTGTCCAAATGTGCTGCGAACTTAGCGAGAAATTCGTTTATGTTGCCGTGGTAAACCCGAGGGACAAATCACTATGTGGTGTGCTGAATCGAAAATACGCATTGAGGATTTATAATAATAAATAAATATATATTTTTTCTTTACATTAAATACGTTTAAGATAAACTCTAAAATCATGTTTAAAATAAAAATATTTATTTTTGTTTACAAAGCTGTCAAATCAAACAAAAATATTCACTTTTATTTTCAACTCGAATATTTTAAAAATAAACGTATAATGATTTTTATTTTAAACATTGATATCACATGACTTTGAACATAACGTACGTTTGAATCAACCTATTTTATTTTTGTGGCCAGAACAAACTGAGTTTACGTTTATTTTTACCTCAAATATTTTTATTTCCATGATACTTTTTTTTCTGCGTGTTGGTTCGCGTGTAAAGGGCCTTAGAAAGTTTGTTTACATATGCTTTTGTGCCGTTATCAAATGTTATGCCTGAGTTGATTTTGTTTAGAAGGATTCTGTGTAATAAATTTTACTTTTTTTCAGAATAAACGACACATATTAGTGCAATGCGCTTGCTTGCTGGAAGATTGCCATTGGGTGGAAGAGCACACGGAGCTGTTGCTAAGGGTTATCTGGGTGATTCTCAAGGCGATATACGATGCACATACGAGCAGGGTTACTTCCACTCACTTGCATTAAAAAAATGTTTTTCAGAATTATGAAGCCATGAGATGGTATAGTGATAATTAGTACTTGTAAGTTACAAGATGAGGACGTGAAGTATGTGTTTGATACATAAAATCTGTCAATATTGCTTCAGTGCGTCACAATCAGCAATTTTACGACTCGTGAGTGCTCACTCTGAGTGAACGCTCGCGAATCATAAGATCGCTTATTGTGACGCTCTGAAAGCAAAATTGACAGGTTTTATGAGTCAAACACATACTGTAAACCCTCTTCTCGCTACTTACAAGTACAGCATATCTTTATATCATCTAATGATTGCATAATTCCGAAAAATATGTTTTTATAGCAAGTGAGTGGAAGCAACCCTGCATACGAGCAAACGGATCAGCAAAAGTTTATTTTGTCTGGATTGGATGTGATCTACTCCACCACAATACGATTGTTGCGGCACTGGTCCGAGTCTGACGAGTTTGCGATCCGGGCGAAAGCAGTAGGGATCTACAACGATGTGTTCGATAACTCAACGGCGCTGCTGTATCGACTGTTCAGTGTGTATCAGAAACTTTTCGTATCAGTGATATATAGAGAAGTTTAGCGAGATGGAAATGGCAGAATTATTCAACAAGAGTTTGCCTAATGGAAATAATTCTTAGGTTGGGTGAGGCTTCCAAGCAGTACATACAATTAGTGGAGATTCTTAGTAGGGTTAACTACCCCCTTTCCACCCTATTAAGCACAACACGCACTTAGTCTTTCTTTATCACACACTTTATCACAGCACAGTTTAGCATCAAACTAAATGTTATTATTACTGATGACTTCCAAATTTATTTACCATTCTGTACGTACCGTAAAATTTAATAAAGTGAAACCGATCGTTGAGATATTGTCAAAAGTCTAACACTGCTTCTTGATGCCACACTCGGCCTGCGGATTCTAAACTCGGCCTAACGCATTGAAACGCCAATGAATTCACTTCGGCCTATCGGATGAAGATAATAATTGATTCGGTCGGAGCGCTTCTTTTGTTTTTGGGAATAATGTGTGCAAACCTTCATACCACGCGTTCTCATTGACTTCGTTCGGTAGCTTATTAACTAAAGTATCGTACCAAACCCATAATTGACTTGTTAACTCTGAAATCATGGATTTATTTGATGCTTTCTGCTCGATAGGCCCAAAATGGGCGATTAGACCGAAGTAGTTCTGTACCCTATTTTTGAAAGAATAGAATCTAGAATAGAAAATCCAACGGCAAATTCCGTGTGGATTTTAAGGAAGTATCTCAACTTTTAAAACAGCTCTGTTCTGGATATGAAAACACTGAAATCCCTATCAGAGAAATTGAAAATCCTCAGTGGGAAATCCCCTCCGGATCAGCTTTTGGTAGAAATCGTGATATTCATCACACTTCAACCATAGAGGTAACTCTAAGACCACTGGGTCCCGAAGAAAATCATTATTATTTTTGACTCACTCAGTACCAGAACAACGGTCCCAAGCAGTCCCAAGCTATTTCACTCACCCCTGCATGTTCTGCATGAATCCACACACCCCTGATGTTATCTGTCAAACTTTCATAGCGAATCAAAACAAACATAGTGTAGTAATAGAATTTCAACTAGAATAGGGTACGTTAATCGTTTGCTTGGGACCAATAGGCTACTAAAGTGGTGAGCCAATTTAAAATCGTTAGTTTCGTATTGATTGTTGCTTCAACTGCGGATACATTTGGATCAAATTAAGCAGCAGGCTTCGGAGGTAGCCGAGCCGATCATTGAATTGTGCAAATGTTGGTCAAATTCAGTAAATACTGCCCTAGGAATCAAGCCCAGATTTGCTCCCGCTGTGGAAACTCCAGTTGGAATTTTGTGGATTACATTTCAACGATAGTTATAAACTTGGCGATGACCATGTCCAAGGCCGGGCAGGAAATCAGTCAAGAACTGGTCGGATTGGTCAATGGATTTCTGAGGCATAAAATGCTAACTTTGGATGATTTGGGATGCGAATAGAAGCAATCGCTGCTGGACTCCGGGTTGCGATTTTTGGTCAATTGGATACGGGTTGCTGTGCAGCTACTCCCCGGAAGAGAAATGCTGGACCTTGCTCGGTTGGTCGTCGACTTCAAGTACAAATACGGATTCGATTTTCTAACGGATAGTTATTTGATAAGACTCGTGGAGAACTGCCTTAAGGATGCCGGAGTCTGCTCGGTTGCAATTGATATTAAATTCGTAATATTGCTGATTGCATCTGAAACTGGACTGTCCCAAAAATGCAAAAAGTCTGATAAAAGTGCACGTTTCCGTCAAATCGTTTTGATGTCTTCGGAGCACTTATTGCTTGCATCATACGAAATAAGTGCACCCAAGACACCAAGACGATTAGACGTAAACTTGCAGTTTTATCACACTTTTTAATAAGTGAAAACGCGCTTATTAGTCAAATTTGGTGTGAAACGCGCAATACTATTGGCAGCGCTTTGAGATCTTGCTGACGACTCCAAAGACGTGGACGAAAAAATTTATGCGATTGTGAACTTTCAAGTTAGCACCAATACCGAACCAAGTCGTTGAATATTACAACAGATAAGCTGCACATAACATATACACACTAATCCAGTCAGTAATTTTTTGACATGCTGGGTTTTTGAATTGCAGACAGTTCGATAAAAGTTTAAAACTCTGCAGAAAATTCAAAAATATGAAACTTATTCTGAACTTGTACAGATATAGTCCTGTTAATCTCATTTCATTTTTTTTTTCTTCCTTTGTGTTACCGCGAGGAAATTAATTTCAAACCAAAACCAAAAGATACTCACAGTTGCATCCCGTTTGCATAGCCCTAGCTGACGTTGATACCAAGGCCAAGAATATGAAATGAAAAGTAGGGCAAAAGGAGCGAGAGCTTGTTTTACATAATCTAACTGCAGTATTTACTTAGGAACGTTTCTGCGTTCAAGTAGGATAAACACGCCCACGCATGGCATGCTTGCGCATCTAGGTTACGTTTAGCTTTCCCTCTCTGTTTATCCTTAACGAAGGATATAATTATAATGTTTAAACGTTACAAATGTCTCATTCTTATTTGTAGAGCCATATCAGATCTGAGTTACAAAAAGAAATAAACTTACAAGATAACCCGAGAAATCCCAGATCTGAGAGGGCATAGTATATAAGATCCAAATAACACAAATTTGCCCTTTCAAGGGCGATCGAAATCCTAGCTAATAGAATAGGCAAAATTAGGTCAAAAGTCCGGTATTGAAAGGGATATGTAAAACCCTGGACGAACCAAGTAAAAGTTTTACATAATTATAAGTTGCTAATGCAACACGTAGCTGTAAGATCACTTTGTACAATTTTGTTGAATAAAATTAAGTTTCATAGGTTACTCCAGATTCTTCTCTT